CGGGACGTTGGTTGAATATGGTTATGCAGTATAAACGGGCGCGAAAAGTCGGTAAAATGATGCGGGTTTAAAAAGTGTTATTCAGTTTGCAACTTTTTTTGTAAAAAGAAAATGTTTCCCCTTGAAGCATGCTTATTGAGTTATATTCTTTAAAAGCTTATTTACGGTTTATATACTCGCCTAAATTACCTGGATCAAGTGGGTCTTAGGTAGCCTGTATAGTGTATCGGGACTGAAAACGTGGACCGGATAGATATATATATATATATATATATATATTAGGGTGAGCCAAAAAAACTAACCTATCGGATTTATGGGTTAAAATGAACCTACATACCGAGCAAAAAATTTCCCTGCAAGGCAAAATTTTTTGCTCAATTTTAAAAGGTGTCGGTGAGCATTCTAAGTTTTCCATTGAAATAACACGTAAAAAAATCTTTTTTCATTAAAAAGACTATAACTTTTGAACCGTTTGAGATAAAATTTTTTACGTCGCGGATTCTTGTAGAGCATAAAATTTCTCAAAGAATCTATACTAGGATTATTTTTTTATTTCAAAAATTCGTATGTTTGAAAGCTTTGAAAAGAGTAAAAAATCACTAAAACTGCAGTTTTAGTGATTTTTTACACTTTTTAAAGCTTTCAAACATACGAATTTTTTAATTAAAAAAAATAATCCTGGTATAGATTCTTTGGGAAATTTTATGCTCTACAAGAATCCGCGACGTAAAAAATTTTATCTCAAACGGTTCAAAAGTTATAGTCTTTTTAATGAAAAAAGATTTTTTTACGTGTTATTTCAATGGAAAACTTAGAATGCTCACCGACACCTTTTAAAATTGAGCAAAAAATTTTGCCTTGCAGGGAAATTTTTTGCTCGGTATGTAGGTTCATTTTAACCCATAAATCCGATAGGTTAGTTTTTTTGGCTCACCCTAATATATATATATATATATATATATATCTATCCGGTCCACGTTTTCAGTCCCGATACACTATACAGGCTACCTAAGACCCACTTGATCCAGGTAATTTAGGCGAGTATATAAACCGTAAATAAGCTTTTAAAGAATATAACTCAATAAGCATGCTTCAAGGGGAAACATTTTCTTTTTACAAAAAAAGTTGCAAACTGAATAACACTTTTTAAACCCGCATCATTTTACCGACTTTTCGCGCCCGTTTATACTGCATAACCATATTCAACCAACGTCCCGAGACCCAGCGATGTTGCCAAATGGTAGGGACTCGTGGCGTAGGTCAAAAGTACGTAAAAATAATATACTAATCCGGGATTCTCCTCATTGCCTGTAAAAAGGGAAGATAGCAGAATTGGCGAAATTGTTTGTGTGGTGTGAAAATATTGGCAGGAAGCAAACTAATTGCTCAAATGGCAATACTAGGAAAAAATCAAAATACAGTTAAGGAGGCATGTTTGGTTAGGTTAGTTTTTTTATTTACTATTATTTCTTTTAAAGCAAAGTTAATTTTTAGGTATCCCTATCAGTGGCGTAGCTAGCCTCAAGGGGGCCTCGTATCAAAAATCTGGTAGGGGCCCTTATACCGGAAAAGGTGCTGGCAAAAAAATTTTTAGGGTATCATTTTTTTGCATTTACCAATTTTTATAATTCAATAAATAATATATGTGGGTATATCTCATGAAATGTAAGTTTGACCGACACTTTTATTGTGTTTTGATCTTTTATAATTAAGTAGATATTACAGCTCAGGTTCCAGATTTTTAACCGCAATTAATTATTTTTTACAATGTTTTAAAAGTCTAAAACATATCCTCCGTGACTGTAACTCTTTCTAGGTTAACCTATATGTTTTCAAATATCTGAGGTAGTAAAAGCATACTAAAAATATCAGTTCACCAAGTAAATTAAACACATCCAAAGCAATCGAATCGAATATAAAATATCATTAAAAATTAAAAAAAATAATTTTTATAACCATTTATGTAGGTGTTAAGTAGATTTTTTTATAAATATTTTATGTATGTACAATTGTATTTTAAAAAAATATTAAGGTGTCAAAAGATACAATAACTTATTTTAAATATACAAAGGTTAAAAAAAACATACGAAATCCTAACCTCCGTGAAGATATCTTCCGTGAAGCTCTAATATTCAAAATGTATGATTTCTTAAAATTCTTGCATTAGTGCAGAACCACTTATGTTATGTTATTACTAGACCTGGTGGCTTCCCAAAAACCCCATTCTAGACTAACAGTGAAACAACCAAAAATAAAAAATAATCATTTTCACTTGGGGGACATAAAATTTGATCTGGTTTTAAACATTTACCGTTCTTCAACATCTTTTATAAGGTGTCTATTTTAATATAAAGGAAAGTCATTTGAAACAATTGTAACGCTAATAATTATTTCTAATTTGCTTTTAATTTAACCTATGATAATAACACCCTGCGCCGTAGACAACGCATAGCGGAAAGGTGCGGGCAGAAACATTTTGTATGAGTTAACGGCCTCGTTGGAACAGGAGGGTATTCAGGAAAATTAATTTAATAAATCGAAGAATAAACAATTTAATAAAAATATTATTTATTTATTTAATTTGATGCCTCAATTCTTTTTACATGTGGGTAATATATTTTTTGCTTACGCATGTCGAAGCCAATCGGGGGCCCCCCTATCCGGGGGCCCCGTATCATTGATACGGCTGATACCGCGGAAGCTACCCCCCTGATCCCCAATCAAAGAAACGCAGAAAATCCTGTAGACGAATATAGTTTCGACAGCAAAGAAAGTATTTCCTTTAAAAAATTTAACTTTATTTATTTTGCGTACTTCATCAAATTATTTTTTCTTCTTCCCTTAAAATTTTGGCGTATTAGTTTTTTAAAATCGGTTGGTTTGCACAAATTATTACTTTAATTAAGTGTGGTTTAAAAGTACGTGATTTTATAAAATGATTCTTGTGAATATATAATGGTGTATAATTAATAAATTAAAAAATTAAGTTTTTCTCAAATAACGTACCAACCCATTTAAACTAATACGGGTATTGTATAATTTTAAGGGCATTTTAAATCCCTTTATTTTGACGTTTTTAATCGGTTTGTTTGTTTAATCGGTTTGTTTGTTTGTTTTCAAGATATTACAGAAAATTTTTCTTTTTTAATTTATTTTTGTCTTAAATATCTCAGGAACAAACTAACCGATTTTAAAAACTAATACTCCAAAATGTAGAAATTTAAAATGCCTTTAAAATGACGTATCACTCATTTTTAATTTAAAGTAGAGAAGAAAACCGGGGTGGAAAGTTTTTGGTTAATTTAATTTGGAAAATATCAAAAAAATTTCATTTTCACTAATCAGCATTCAAATTGGAGTATTTTAGTATTTTTATTTAGTAGTTCTGAGATACAGGGTATTAAAATTATACAGTAACCGTACAATATTAAAAAAATATAAATTTTAAAATACAAGTTTAAAATTTGGTATGCTGTAGGTAATATCTAAAGCAAATAATTTTTTCTACGACCACTATGTAAAAGTCACTTTTGGCATCGTTGCTTAGAAAATGAATCTTTTCATTGGCAAGGCAAAACACGAATGTAAAGTGACATTTCTGTGTGAAAAATGACAGGTCTGTGTGAAAAGAACCGGAAAGCATCGTTTGACGTTCAACTGTCAAAAAAGTTTTTAGGTTATTTTGTTTTGTATTTAAAAATAATAAAAAATAAAAGGGTCGCAGAAAAAACATTGTGTTATACTTGTGAGAAAAGCTTTCTTCAAGCTCGTGTTAATGCACACTCGGCCTAACGGCCTCGTGGGCAACTTAAAAACTCGCATGAAAAAGTCGCTTTTCAACACTGTAAAACAAATAACTATTTTATTTAATTTTAATTATTATACCGGGTGATTTACTTTATACGCTGCTAGTTAAATTTAATAATAAAAACACATGTAAATATTCAATTAATCAAATTTGGCAATATGTATTGATTATAATTCAACAATAAGAAAGCTAATGATAATAATAATAATAATGATAATAATGATAATAATGCTAATAATGATAATAATCATAATAAATAAATAAATAAACGGAAATGAAAATTGATATTAAAAATACATACCATTAAAATTATCAACTACATGTTCCACAGACAGTGTAAGGTTCTTTATAATCTTGAGATATTTCGCAAATCTTTTTATTAACTTAATATTTATATTTTGTATAATACAATAAATATTATTATACGTAAATCACATCCATACAACCATATTAAAAATTACGATCTACTAATATTTTTACAGTAATATTTACCAAAAATGTATACTAAAAAAATAATATATTGTGTTAAATATTTAACATTTCAATTTTACTGACGAATATTTAAAAGTATAACCCTCAAAATTTGATAAAGTAGATTTTACTTTTTTTTACTATCTAGATAGCTGAAGCTTATTTATCTCCGTTCAGGAGGGAAAGTGTTATTTTGGACCAAATGGTAAAGAGTATATCGGGACTGTATCAGAGCTGTGAAATACATATTCATTATTTATATGCCAAACGGCGTTGCCAAATTTAGGGTTTGAAGACGTAGTTTAACTATGCCAAATATATACAGCTAGCTGAGCCCGACCGAGGCGCCCTCGAACTGGCTGAACCGTGAACTAAATCTGTATATTTCATCATGTTTCACCGCCTTTTCAAGCCCACCTAAAAATTTACCCCCTGCACCCACCAACCCCCCTGATTTCCATACTATGATTAACTTTTTCAGTCCCGAAGCCGGGTCTGAAAACGTCAATTTTGGTCTGTATAGGCGGCGAAGTATGACGATTTGGGTCTGTATGTGCGGTCAAACAAATATATATATATATATATATATATATATATATATATATATATATATATATTTTTTTTTTTTTTCGGGATCTGATCCGTGTTGTCGGTTTTTGGTTCTTAAAAGAAAGTATAATTTAGCCTTATACTAGTTGTAATCATGTACGTTTGGTTTTAGTATTGGATGTACAAATTTCGAGATGCAGATAATGCTATATATGATACTTCAGAAAACAGAACAACACTCCAGGCTCATTTTTCGGCCGCAATAACAATTGCCACCAACGTCCCATTGGTGGCTTTCGTACTCCTTACAACAACATACGGACACTATGTTTCAGCTAGGAAAAGAGTATATTATTCAATTGTGCTCATGCTGGCTACCTTTATCATCTCAACCATTTTTATTGAGCTCAATACAGACGGATGTAAAAAACATTTAACAAAATTAATTATTTATTTATATTTATTTTTTATTTTAGGGCAAACTGAATTCTTTATTTTAACAATGATTCTCATAAGTATAATAAATTGTAAGTTGGCTCATTTATTTAAACCAAAAACAAACCTTACTTTCTATTTTATAAAAGTTATAACAACTAATATTTAATTTATTTTAAGCAGGAAGAGCTGTGTACAGGATAAGCATATTTGAAATCATACCTAAATTTCCTTCCTGCTCCGTGGCTTACTTCTTAGCCGGAGAAGGGCTGGCAGGAATATTTAACTCAATGCTACAAATATTATCTCTCCTTGTTGGCACTTCAACAAAAACCAGTGCTTTAATATACTTTATTTCTGGAAGTGCTGTAATGTTATTTGCAATAGGATTTTATAACTTTGGAGAAAGAATGACCTATTATAAAGCTTACGCTTCTACAGAAGGATACTATAAAAAGAATATAACTTTTAAAGATATTATAGAAAGTTCTAAAATTATTTGGCCAAGTATAATAATTATTTTATTTTTGTACATTGCACAATTAACTACAAGTCCATCGATAACTTCTTTAGTAAAATCGGAAGCTTCTGGCAATGTTTGGAGTGGTAAGTGTAATTAAAAATTAATTATGCAGGGTGTGTCCCACAGTCACCAATCATCTTTTAAATACAGATATCTTAGGAAATAATAAAAAGCTTTTGCTGTTTTGAAGCAAGATATAGCATTTTTCATTAAGCCAATCAGAGCTAGCTATTTTCATCGACCAATCGCGCTGCCGAAAGCGTATTGACGTACTATTTATAGTACATTAAAAATATAAAACCAAAAAAAGTTCATAATAAAAATACTAAACCGAACACACCATATATTTTCCATTTAAATAACTTTTTTTACTTTTTTCATTTTTTTTCCGAATAAAACAAATATACAGCAATTTCTAATACATATTTTTGTAAGGAATTTAACGCTTTACAAAAATATATCTTATTAATTTACGATAAAAAACGATTAAAATTTAATTATAAAATGTCGAATTTGAGTTGCCTTAGTTGCCAAAAGTTGTGGATTTACTTTAGTAAAAACTCCATTATCTTACTCGTACATTTAAAAAATATATTTAGTCTGCAGAATTGGATTGAAAATTTCGGATTATTTTAAAATCGCATTTTATAAAAATAATCTAAATGATGCCAACTTAGTGTATTTAGTACCTAAACCAAGTACACTAATTTGGTATTATTTAGATTTTTTTTTCTTTAAAAAACACTAATTTTTATTGTACTTGCGCAGACTCCAGATAAACAAGTATATTATATAATTTAAGATTTAGTATTGTTGTTACTGAAGTAAAACCACAACTTTTGACACCCACCCCGTTGCCGTCAGGCGGATACAAGGGTGGGGCGAAGGAGGCAAATCCCCCTCAAGAGCTGGAGAGTGAAACAAAATTGGATATTCTAAATTTATTAAATTTACTGGGGGTCCGTTTTTCGAGGCTAAGCTTATCTTTAAAGATACATAGTTAATTAGTTAAAAAGTTGCACATTTTTATACCAATGACAAAGATTAAATATACTCTTTCTTCAAAGATTAAATATAATATTAATATATTAAGAGTATATTTAATCTTTGCAAATGATATACAATTTCTCACTTATCATCTTTAGTTTTTGAAGAGGGGTAAACCACATTAAAATCTTAGAGACCAACGTTCAATGTTAGTGGACGTTGTGTTTTGATTTTTTTCCTTATCAGTCGTTATCAATAAGGAAAACTTGCTTAATCAGCTTAGCGATGCGTTGCGCATGACTACCCTTGTTATTTTTATTGTAAATCAGTAGTTTACTCCTTGGTTTTTGAGACATCTCAAACGAGAATTTGTTATTTTTATTTTAATTTATTTAATTTAATTTAATCAAAAACAGTTCAAGGTAGCCTTTTTTTACTTCAGACATTATTAGTTTACTTTTTCAAGAAGAATTTAAATCTGCCAAAATCTTTTTGCTGACTTTTAAAACTGTCTAGTAAAGATCAGTGGCGGCTCGTGGGTGTACAGGAGGGTGAGACTACATAAGGTTAATTTTGTCTAAATACGAATAAATTTCCACGTCACCCGGGAGGTATTATTCTGCGACGCGTTGACCTTTTTTAAAATGGAGCCGATAGCACTACTAAACCAAAAAATAAACTCTTAAAAACAAAACAAACAAAATATCACATCAAAGACTAGTTTTAATCCTAAACTTAAAAATATAGTCTTAAAAAAGTTAAAAATAAAAAAATTAATCAAAAAATAAAAATAAAACTAAAAAGTCGACCCCTACCTAAGTATTAAAAAATATAATAATATATATATAATTTGGTCGTAAAATTGTGGGTCTGCAGTGAGATTTAAAAGTAATTCTAAATTTTCAAACCGCGTCTCTAATTAAAGAATTATGCAATCTATTATTTCAAAATATAAAATTTGCTTAATAAAAACTGCTAAATCTACCTTAGTGTGTTCCCTACAATAATTAAATAAGAAATTTTACTAATCGAGACAAAAACTATAAAAGATCAGCCAAAAGTTTTAAATAATTTAATCTGAATCAAAACAATAACGTGCTCTACAAACGCTAAGAGAAGACTGGCAACCTTCTTTGTCTCCGCTGGCATCCCACCATAAACGGACCACCAATCAGAACAAACCAAGCTAACTAAATATCGCCTCATCTACGGTGTTTATTCGCGAACTTACGGCGATATTTTTGTTGGTGAGTCATTTTCGCTTTCAAGAGGTAAATGGGAGCTTCCGAGGCTGTGAAAATTGTGCCTCTGTCTGGCGTTTGGTTTTTGGTTTTTTACTTTTTATTGGGTAGAACTGTTGTAAAAATACACTTGTAATAGGCAAAAATATAAATACAAAAAGTCGTTCGTTCCTTCATTTTAAGGGTGAGGCGCGGCCTCAGAGGCCTACCCTGACGAGCCGCCACTGGAAAAGATAAGCGAGATACCCGTGATCTGCCTCGAAAAACGGACACTTTGTTTAACGTTCTATAATATGTAATGTGTAATAATAAATGCAACTTAACCTAACTTTTAGAGTTTTTTAATGTATATACCTAGGCATTGAACGTTTGTAACACATGATTGTTCGAAATAGATTTCTTGTAAAAAAATTGGGCTATCGCTCCCCCAAACGAAAGTTCGGAATTGGTCCCGGGTTGCTGTAGCTCAAAATCGGCCTTTTTTGGCCTATACCCTCTACAAGCAGGAATATTAACCATGGACTCAACTTTGACTATAAACTATATAAATTACTTTTAAATAAGTAATCTTAAATTGGTTAGAAAGCTTTTTTGTGGATCGTTTTATTTCCTGGAAAAATATGTTTTGGATATTGCTGTATATTTACTTATTCAAGAGTAAGAATATTAAATGAAACAAATTCCATTTTATTCAAAGAAAAACAACTTTTTTGGTTTTATAATTTTTGTAGGGTAGCTACCATTAACTTGTTAGGTTTGCAGCCTGTCAAATTGATTATGGTTACACTTAATCAATTTGCTTTCTTTTGTTACGCGATAAAATATATATTTTTTTAACTTTAAGCATTTTATAATTTTCTTGCACTCTATAATATAAGTTAATTTCACCTAGATTTTCTAAATACAGAGTGTCCCATAAGTCAACGATATCCTTTTTTACAAAATTCATAAAAATGTCAAAATCTCAAAAACGATTTTTTACCATATTCTGATAAGACATGAGCTGGCCTATTAGTTCTTCAAAGGATATCGTTGAGACGCCCTGTATATCAAAAATTTGTTGTTTGTTACCTTGACATTTAAATTACTAAGGGCAGTTTTGCATATTTTAAAGGCGCGTCAATACCTTTTTGACAGGGCGTCTTTTCGATTGAATTAACGCACTCTGATTAGCTTACTAAAAAGTGGTATTTAGGTTCCAAACTTAAAATTTGTTTAGAACAAAACCTTAGAATTTTTGGTTTTAAAAAAGGTTAAGCGGTAACCGTGGGACACCCTGTATGTATTATATTACAAAAAAAACTTTGTTTTACTTTTTGTAAGTTACTAAATCTGTTAGGCATTGTTATTTCAGAACATATAAATTAATTTTATTGAAACTCGGGCATATTAAAAATAATGAAATTGAAATTTTAAAAAACTTTGTTTTTTATAATATATTATTGTTTTTCTCGGAAAGCGTGCGCGCTGTGAGTTGTATTCCATAATCACTAAAGTAATTGCCAGAGTTGTTCTCTACGGATTTAGATTCTTGATCTAGATCTTAAATTTTTTTCATATTTTTAAAAGGTCCAGAACACGAAAATAAATTAATATTATTAAATTTAATAAATTATTAAAAATTAATTTGTTGTAATTTTTAAAACAATTTTCCCATGTTTCTAAAATCGATTTATAGGTTCAAGATTAACAAGATTTTATTTGAAAAGTTACCAAAAATTTTATTTAACAATAACTTTTTAAGTCGAGTAATTTTTAAAGTCAAATAAACAGTTTTAACAACATTTTAACAAAAAAATAAGATTAGTAATTTGCATCGTTCTAAAAACCCATTTTGCTTTAATATTATAGTTAGTGTTTATTAAGACCATAAAACGACCCGATAAAAGGTAAAAAAAATGTATGATATGAAAATCAAATTTAAAATAAAACTATGTTATACATATGTTATGTACATGTAATGTCATACAGATACCATACAATTTAATTAAACTTAATATTTATTTTACGGAAAATTCCATAAATAATACAAAATATTCCATATGCCATCTTTAAAGATCACAATAAAAATATTACAAATATAAAATTAACTTTAAAACGTACAAAATGTTTAATACATCCTATAGCTATTTTTAGCGTTTCAGAAATAAAAATAATAAAAAGAAGGGACTGAAATTAACAATGATAAATCTGGACACATCGGTTAAATATTTTATGACGATCCATTAAATCTTAATAATGGTTTCTGCATATATGCATAGCCATATATGGATTTGGGATTATTAGATTCGTTTGAAGAGGTTTCAAAAATTGTACTTATGTTAACACTAATTTTTATTTAATTAATAATAATTTAATTAATAATTATTATAAAGTTACAACTTCATTGGAAATCTAGAATTAAAAATAATTTAAATTTCTGAAATTTCTATTTAATAGTACTTAATTAAAAAACTTGTTTTAAATACCAATAAAGCAGTTTTGCACTTATAGTTTAAGTACTATTAATAAAATGAACCTTATCCGATAAGGGAATGATGAAATATAAATTTTCTTAATTTGTTGTTGAATATTTTATTTAATTATTTGAATCCGTGACGCAAATTCGGATTATTTTAACAAAACAAAAAATAAACAAAGAAAACAATTTTTTTAAATAGCAATTTCAAGTACGTTAATAATAGTACAGGTCTCATTGGACAATTTGGGCCGAGGATGGCGCAGTGGGTTAAGCTACAGAGCTGTAAGCAATCTGCGTCTAACGGTACCGGGTTCGATTCCCGGTCACAGCCTTGGGTGTTGTAGTTGTTTATTAAACAAAAATAAATATCATGAGCTGGCTAAATAGTCTTAAAAAGACTAAAAGTCAATAAATATAAAAAAATTGGACAATTACAGTTTTTTGATTTAACAATTTCCTAATGAACCTTTAAATTTAATACTGGTTTAAAAAAACAATCAATTTATTCGTTATTTATAAAAATATGAGTTATTTATAAGTATGGTAAAACTTAGATTATTATACAAGTTTAGGTATTATTATCCTGTATATACAGGGTGTCCCAAAAATAGTGTGTACTGCACACTTTTTAGGACCAAAAATATGAAGAAAACTTTATATGAACATAAGTCGGCAAATGGCCCGTAATGGACCTACAGCGTCTTAAAGAGGCGCCCCTAAAAATGTTTTATAATTAATATTTTTGAAACGGTTTAAGATAAAATAATGTATTTTCGGAAAACAACTTTTTGTTTTAATATTTGTTATTTTATTTTTATTTGAAAATGGTACATTTTATCAATGTTTAAAGAGTACCTTTTTTACGTAGAAAACTCAATTTTTTTTTTCTGCAGCCAACTTGCAAAATATTGCACAAAAAAATGTGGGCTCATTTTAAATTTTGTTATTTTTAATTTCAGCATAAAAAGTTAAGTAAGCATACAAAATTTCATTATTTTATGTAAAATCGTTTAATAATTATTAAATTATAATAATAATAATTAATTATATAATTATTATAATCAAAAGCTCTCTTCAGGGGCGACGCTTTAAGAGGCTGTAGCTCCCTTTGTTTATGTTAATAAGTTTTTTACTATTTTTGGCTTTAAAAACCACGTGTAGAGTATTGTACATTGCACATTTACATTTCAAGACATCCATCAACAGAGCAACTGATCGAAGTATTTTTTTTGCATAAATATAGTAAAGTATCAACTTTACTTTTTATAATTTTTTTTATATTTTTTTGTTTTTTATATATTTATTTAAAACAATACAAGTCGAATTAAGATTTGGATGCAAACCCAAAGGTGATTAATTTATATATTCGTTTATTGTACTAGTAATTAAAATTTAAATAATTAATATATTTGTATTTTTATTTTATTTTAGAAACATATTTTGTTCCTGTTATAACATTTTTACTTAACAATGTATGTGATTTTATTGGCCGAACTGTTGGTTCAAAAGTTAGCAAGGTAAATTTTTTAATTTAATCTATATTAATTTATAATAATATTGTTTTAACAGTTATTGTGGAATGAGAAAATTATCAAATTAATCAAATTCTAATAAAAAAGATATGCTTAATTGATTAAAACTATAAGAAAATTCCATTTTAAAAATTAATATTTATCAAAGCTTAAAGTTAAAGGAGCTTTGTGTACACTACCATGGGGTTGGGACATGCAATGTTTTATTGCATATTTGGAATTTACGCAGAATTTTCCAAACAGACTTATGAATGAAGTATATGCAAAAATAAAATTACAAACATAACCAGTTTCGTTGATAGTTCAAACCTTTTAACTTGTCAAAAAACCAGCGTATTTTAGTATAAAGTTTTTACAATAAAATAAAAATACCCTAGGAACAGATGATTGATATTCAAATTAATTAATTCATTCGTATCTAATTTACTTATTCGTGAGTCTTGTTACGACTGTTACACCAACAGTCATGCTATTGTGAAAGAATAATTTTTAACTATAATTATGTTTTTAACAGTATGGTTGTCTTTAGTGACTAATCTCTATAATAAAAGTGGTGTCAAACATGCCCCAACCCCATTCCAAGCTCAGTATTCGTGTATTCACCCTTATAACTTGGTAGCTTTAGTTTATCCAAGCTTCGAAAACAGTTGTTGGCTGCTACCTCCTTTTTAGGCCTTTACTTTTTGTTTTTTCTCTCAATTGTTTCTTATTCCACATAAATATTAAAAATGTTAAACCAATTTTAATTTTAATTTTATTTTTATTTTTAGACTCTAAATGGAAAACTAATTACACTGATAATGTTTGTTAGAATGATGGTTTTGGTACCATTAATAATGCTCTGTAATGCCCAACCACGAAATCATTTACCAGTAATTTTTCCCCATGATTATCAATATACGTTGATAATTATAGCTTTCGGCTTATCTGGTGGTTATTTTTTTAGTGCAGCGTTTATCAGTATTACCAGGTAAAACTTATTTATAATATAGTACTATTTATTTATTTTGTGCAGCAAATTCGTTTCTCCATTTAAAATTGTTTTTATACAACCTTTACTTGAAGACTTCAAAACTGACGAATGCATCGAGATATCATAAAAAATATTGATAACCAAGAGGACGAGTGGGTATTTTTCAACCAAATTTGTAGGAAAGTTAAATTGAGACCCTTATTCAACCCTTACCGAAAATGAACCGGACCCTAAAAAACTTCTTGAGTTACACATGCTCTATTTGTTTTGCTGCAGTAGTCTGCTTAATTTTGGGCCATTAAATAAGTACCGTAATTACTTTGTAATTGCTTCGTAAATTAAAGTAAAATGTTGTTTTCAAGTGGGTTGAAAAGCTGATATATTTTATAAAATCGAAGCTAATGTGAAAATACAAAATTAAAATTAATAGTTTAACTGAAATCTGACAGCTCGCCCACCGGTTAAAGTTAAGAAATGAAATGGGTGTTGAATAAACATATTGTTACTATTATATTAAGTATCAAGAACACTAAGGATAGTTTACCGATCGACGCCAATATTGGAACAGATCGGTAAATTCCTTACTGTTTGAGATGATTATACACTGTTTAAAATATCTGTGGTGTAAAAAGTAATCTTAAAATGGTGTCAAAATCCAACACCAAGTGGTGTTAATATAACACCATGAATTATGGTTGGAAATGTGTACCGATCGCAGCAAAGGCGGTGTGGATCACGTGATGTTCTTAAATCTCGCCTCTGTTGACTTACATGAAGAATATATAAACTTAGGTGGTCCTTTGCTTTAGTGTGACACTACGTATAGTGTCTTGTATACAAGTTGTTCGATACTAAAGAGACCTTAAATAGGTAGAAACAGCTGTCAATACTTGAAGTATTTTAAGTTAGTGGAACGCACTAAAAACATTATCTCTAGCGAGTTAAAGGTTCCATTTTCTGGAATAATACCACTGGTAGTATACTAGTAATGCGTCAAGAAACTTCCTGTTTCCTTTTTTTTTCTGTGTAGTATGATTTAATTTGACCAAACAACAAACACATAATACTTAACACTGAAAAGGAGTTCAATTTACACCAGGTAAAATTTATTTTAATACCTATTGTGTGAAAGTTAAATTAACACCATTTTAGTATTTGAATTTACATCGGCCAATGGACCTTATTTAACACCATTTTGGTTTGTATCGATATAGACCATGTATGGTGTTAATTTGGCGTCAAAATGGTCATGAAATTTTTAACAGTGTAGGCAGGGCCGGCAGCATTTCATTTTGACGTGTGGTGTTCATCTACAGTTCGTTGGTAGCAGTGGTTAATGGATGGGGGGTGTGGGTGTTCTTTTCCTTGGGTTGCGGGAAGGAGAACAAAATAAAATTGGAATAGTTTTTTGGTCAATTTATTTATCAAACTCAGTCACATTTTATATACAGGGAAAGTTTTTTAACTTTGAAATATCTCGCGTAATAAGAACACTATTAATTTTAGCACTAATATATCCCCCCGGAATGATTAAATTTGGTTTATATAGTTTTTTCGACAGTGCTTATTACGCCAGATATTTTAAAGTTTCAATTTAAAAAACTTACCCTGTAATGGAATCGAATGGGATAGGTATATTACTGCCACATCGGACGTTTTTAGGGTTGGCATCTGCCACTTCTTGGATTAAGGGTTACCAGCATCAAAAAACGGGTTTAAAATAATCGTTCTAGATTTTTTTACGAGACAAAATTAAAACAGAGTTACTCTAAGATTCGAACTAACTTACATTTGTTGATAAAAAGTCGGGTATCTATCCACTAACACAATTGGTGGTAGCAAACACAAGATAATAAACAAACCTGGGGCCAATGACCGCAGCAGTCGCCGCACCTAAATTAAAAAAATAAATAAATAAACAAACCGCACGAACTGTAAATAATAATAATAATATAACTCAAAGTTTGGTCTGTTACCGTCGGTATAGTAGAAATACCCTAAATACACGTCGCGACGTGTCGGTATGTTATTCCTACTATACACTTATACATACTGTAGCAAGTACGGCTCTGGATCTAGGAATGATGACTCATCGCCGATGAGTCATCGCCGGTGACTCAGCGCTCGAATAATCGAGAGTGTGGAGCTCGCTGGAATGTTCTAGAGGACGTAGGCGCTGTAATATATAAGAAACGGAGCAGCACAGAGCAGTCAGTTGAGCTTTGGTACGCGCGAAGAAATAAATAAATATAAGTGCAAATAAATAGACTCTTGAACAATAGTGATATATAAATAATTAGTAGTTAAGTGTTTAATTAGTTTTATAGTGTTTTAAGTGTAGTTAAGTTATTAAATAAATAGTTTAGTTCGTTAATTAACCAGTGCGTGTTTTAATTCACACTACGAACAGTAAAAATGTTACAATTGGTGTCAGGAGTGCGGTTAGTGTGAAATTTCGCGAAAATGGTTTCCTTAATGGACTTAAAAGTGGCGGACCTTAAGCGGGAGCTGGAAGAAAGGGAATGTGAAACAATTGGAAAAAAGAATGTGTTGCAGCAGCGGCTTCGAGAAGCGTTGGAGCAGGAAGGTGAAAATCCAGATACGTATTTATTTGAAGGCCCGTGTGATATGCAATTAATGTTGCAAAATTTAAACGAAAAAATGTTGGAGAATTCTAACGATTTAAAACAGAAAATGCTAGAAAATTCTAAAGAACTGAAAGATTTAAAGGATGATTTGCAACAGAAAATGGTAGAAAATTCTAGCGAATTAAAAGTCGATTTAAATGTCAACGATTTAAAGGACGATTTGCAACAGAAAATGCTGGAAAATTCTAGCAATTTACAACAGAAAATGCTGGAAAATTCTAGCGAACTGCAGCAGAAAATTCTGGAAAATTCTAAAAATTTAAAAGAATATTTGGAGCAGAAGATTCTAGATAATGTCAATGAATTAGAAGAGAAAATGGGACAGAAATTTGATGACGTAAGGAAGGAATTGGATTCGAGAGAGGAAAAATTGAACGAGAAATTGGAAGTCAAAATTAGAGAAATAAATAGTAAACTCACAGCTGTAAATCTACCCATGATGCTGGCAGAACCAGGAACAATGCCAGAGGGAAGCCGAGTACGGATGAAACCACCTCAGTTCGATGGAAAAACTTCTTGGACCAACTACATCCGTCAGTTTGAGGCAGCAGCAAAAGCAAATGGCTGGCTACCAGAAGAGAAGGCTACAGCATTGACTCTGGCTTTACGCGGAGATGCAACGGACATCTTGCAGACGCTTTCTCCCAACGAACAAGAATATTACGAAGCGTTGGTGAAACATCTGGAACTTCGACATGGCCAGACACATCTGGAACATGTGTACCATTCCCAACTGAAGAATCGCTGCCAGAAATCAAACGAGACTTTACAAGAGTTCGAGGCTGATATTGCACGCTTGGTTCGGTTAGCATATCCAGCTACTCCAACGACCGTTATGGAACGATTAGCGGTTCAAGCCTTTTTGCATGGACTTCGAGACAACGAAACAAGACAGGCTCTAACGTTGGCTCGTCCGAGTCAACTGGTTGATGCATTGGCTCGAGCTTTGGAATTCGAGGCGGCAAAGGAGAGCTGCAGGAGCCAGCCTAGAATTAGGAGAGTCGAAGAAGAAAAGAAGGAAGAACCCAGGATAATTGAAGCAATTAGGCGAGTTCTTAAGGAGAATTTACCAGAGAAGAAGGAAATCCGGTGTTGGAGATGTGGAAAGCTGGGACATATACAAAGTCGTTGCAGAGGAAGTCAGGTGGCGCCGACTTCATTTAGAAAAATAAATAGGGCCGAAGAAAAGGATGTGTATATTCGCAGGACTACAATCGTAGATGATCATTGGCAATCCGCTGAGGTTCAACAAGACCAGGAAAGGGACCCGGATTTGAAGCTCATCATCGATTGGAAGAAGAACGACCGTAAACCAACGTAGCAGGAAGTCGCCCAATATTCGCCGAATGTGAAATCCTACTGGGCCCAATGGAATTCCATCA